TTGTCTTCTAATCGGATTAAAATCTGGCCGAATTTTGGCCGATATCGAAAAAAAGTTTGGCCGAATTTGGCCGTAAGATGGCGTGTGTTTGGCCGTGAAGCCTGTCGACTATCTGGCAACCTTGAACCATTCCGCTTCAGCAATAGGCGTACATTATTATTATTATTATTATTTCCGTCAGCTATAATACCAATACAATGATTTTGAATATATAAAAAGAGGCCTACCTCTAAAGCCATAGTTATAATTACGTAATCAATTGATTATCTTCATAAATAATTTCAGCTGAGGATTGGAGTTGTGCTTGCAAGTACAGTAACGCCAGCATAGGTAGGCTTTTGTCACACCTCAATGAATTATATCAATGCAACACTCCAGATGACAGGCCTACGAAAGAAAGTAAAATCTTTTCAAACCGTTCATTCTGTATAATCATGACTGCCCTTTATTATTCCGTACACAAATACTGTACTGCTGTGTACACATGACCGTGCTGTTGACAATCATGTGGATTACTTAATCAAGGAGGTAAATACTACTCCATGGCTCAATCAATAGATCACGCCATGCTGCAAGTTTGGTAATGTAGCCTATAATACCGAACGTCGATCTTATCAAGGTAAGTGTTCACTGTTATTAGGCCTGTATCTAAAGGTTAACCAATGACATGACACATATGTTTCGATAATAGATTACGGTATTTAATTTGGTACTGAAGCATACACAAATACGTAGGCCAGGTTAATCATTAAAATGAGGACCAAGAATTGTAACGTCTGATGGCGTGACAGTCGTTAATAATAGTGAGAGGAGCAGAACAGCTTTGCAGTCGGCTCCCACTTCGTGTGTGCGCTGATCAGCGTTGCCAGCGATAAAATTTAAATTATGCCGTGGCCTGGCTCAAATTATGCCAGATTGGGCCAAATTATGCCAAATCTGCAAAATGTGGCTCTAAACACCGCCACCAACGTTAGCAGGCCTACTCGCGCTAAAGGTTGAAAAAAATCTATATTTATTGCCCAAGCATAAGAATAAGATGATTTTTGGGAATCGGGGTCGGCCGGGATTTGTCTTTCTTTGTTGTTGTTTTTTTTTTGTTTTTGTTTTTGTTTTTTTTTTTGCTGTCTATAGGCCTATACAACAGGCCATCCAAATAGTATAGGCCTATATTTTTTTTTTTTAATACAATTTAAGGGTAAGTGATTGCACCACGGTCAGCATCCGCCCAAGACTTTTTGGCCTATGAATATTTTGGGCTCTGGAGCACTGTCTTTTATTGAATGGTTTGTAATTTTTTACATATGTCATAAAATATAAACTATCTAAAAAAAAAATCACATCATTGAACCATTCAAGTACTGTACGAGTGCATATTCATTATGAAATAAAAAATACAGGTACTTTAGTTTTTAACAAGCTTTTAATCAACGGCGGCGGAACGTTTTTGAAAGTGGGGTGGGGGATGCATTTCATAAGGTCGAGTATGCGAGCAACGCGAGCATCTAGGCTGGGTGCCAGGGGGGCCACCAAGGGCCCCGGTGGGGTCCAGGGCTACGAATCTACGAATATTTTACGAAGTTTGGTGAATTTTATAAGTTATTTTATAGGCATCAAGCTACTGTAATATGATTTCATATTTGTTGTAATTTCCAGTGGCAGATCCAGGAATTCGAAATAGAAGGGCCCAGGGAAGGTACTCTCCCAGATAGAAGATCTATACTACCTCAGCCCCAACCATGGTGGGAAGAAAAGTTCAAGATTATGGCACCTCTCTTCTAGATGGCCGGAAATTGCACTTCCAGACATAAAATTTGAATCTTTATATCTCCATTTTTTATTGAACAATTGGTGGGGGGGGGGGCGGGCGGCCTGGCTGGGTCCCCTTGAATCCGCCACTGAGTCAAGAGAATTGTTAACTGTTTGTAATCTTAACTACGAATAAAAACATAATAATAACCGTATCCCAGGTGGGGGAGGCTTCAGGAGTGCCTTTGCAGACATACCGTACCTAGTTAACAACTCCTAAGACTCACTGAGGGAAGGAACGTCTCACGTTTCCGTTTATGGGCTGCCCCTTAAATGGGGTCCCACACCGCTGCCCTTACAAGAGTGGCCTAAACCTATTCAATGCCTAAAAGTACAATATATCTGTGCACTCGTTTAGCATGTCTATCTTAAAACCCATAGTATTTTGTACTGTCTTGAATAACGGTCCAGACCTAAATGCCCTCCTGGAGTGATATAAACCTATTTTTTGGCTATTTTAGCCTAAGAATTGTTTGAAATTGGGCATTAACGAAAAAAAAAGTAAAAAGTTGATTATACACAAGTGGAACATCTAAAAGTAATGGGGGCCTACTCTTGTTAAGGTGTTCCTATAGTAGCGTGAACTGTCACTTAAGAAGGGAGCTTGGTGTTGGTCCCCAATATTGTCCGAGTCTCAGTAAGGGCAGTCTGATAGGCTAAGTTGTAGGCCTATCTATGTATGTAAATTGCCGGTGGCTACATGCATATCACCCCGTTTAGCATAATATGCATATCTTAAAACCCTTAGTATTTTTTACTGTCTTGAACAACAGTCCAGACCTAAATACCCTGCTGTAGTGATACAAACTAGTTTTTGGCTATTTTAGCCTACAAGTCAATTGTTTAAAATAGGGCATTAACAACAAAAAAAATTAAAAAGTTGATTATATACTAGTGGAACATCTTAAAGTAATATTATTGTTAAGGTGTTCATATAGTAGCGTGAACTGTTACTTAAGAAGGGAGCTTGGTCCCCAATTATGTACAATAAGCTGCCGGATCTCTCAAATGGAGCAACATAATTGGTCAATTCTAGACCCCAGTTACTTGCGGCGACGACGCTGCCTATCGCACACCCGGTAGCAGTGAAGTTAGTGATTATTACATGTTACCATTATGTGTACGAGATGATACATGTGCGAGATTGCCCAAAATTTTAAGAAAAAAAAATATTCTTCCTGGGATATATTTTTTGGTTTTTCAAATCATGAAATTATGCCAAAAAAACATGAAATTATGCTAAAAAGGCCTAGATTATGCCGCGGCATAATGCCAGATGCCGTGGCCTCAAAATTATGCCAAAAAGCATAATTATGCCAGAAATGGCAATTATGGCTGATGCACGGTTGAATTCCAACGCTGGGTCGTCATTGTGTTTCAATAGTAGGCACGGATCCAGAGGTGTTCGAAAAGGAGTGGCGGCGCCAGTCGGAAATCTTGGGTGGGGCGGGGGAAAGTGAGGGGTAAGGTAAAATTATAGGGGGAAATATGCTCGGGTGGCCGGAGGTCCATGGGCGTGGTCGGGCGTCGTTCAAAATATCTCGATATTGGTCTAGGAGGCGAAGCCCCCGAAAAATATGACAATTTAGGAGTAGGCTTATTTAATCGATTTTATAGGTGTCTACTAATAATATGTAGAAAATGCATGTCATTATTTTTCCGCGATCGTTTTTCTTTTTTTCTTTTTTTTTGGTGGGTGGGGGAAAGAAATTTTTTTTTTCTGGGGGAAAATTCCCCGTGCCTCCCCCCCCCCCATAGCTGCCGAAAATGGGGTCGATCGATCGAGACGACAATACCCTAACAGGGTTGCCAGATAGCCGACAGGCTTCACGGCCAAACACACGTCATCTCGCGGCCAAATTCGGCCAAACTTTTTTTCAATATCGGCCAAAATTCGCCCAGATTTTAATCCGATTAGAAGACAACAGTGGATACATAATATTCATTTAAAATACAAACATGACACGAAAATCAACTGCCATTTGTTGGAAATTGGAGAAATTAAAATGATATAGACCTACACAGAAAAATGTTAATCTTTCACTGTTTTTATAATTAATCACCATAATTAAATGCCCAACTACCTGTAGCTACATCATAATATTAAATATGTTCTATAATTAGTCGCTAGCATGTAGGCCTATTTAAAGTCACATTATTAAGATCGATCTAAATTTGATTTAAATGTATTAAATACCGTAACATACATTGTAGTCGACCTATAAAGCAATAACAATGATAAATCCGTGGCTCTCTTAATTACAATGAGTTACATTAGTAAAGTAACACAAGCCGATGTTAAAACAAACCTATGAAAACTTTAATAAATACTTTTTATCTGAAACTTTCTAAATTCGCCTAGGAATGTTATTGTTGCAGTATACGGTACTTAAAACAATAAATCAATGGCGCTATCGGAACTATCTTCTTCATGATTCTCATATTCTAACCCCGAGTAACTTGAAAGAAGTCTTAGCAACACTTGCTTGAAATTGGATTTGACATTGGACCCGAATGATCACATCGAGCATTTGATGGCACTTCACATAAAGAACACTGCAGCGCCACAATTTATCATATTTATTAATATATGGTACAAACTTGCAATAAACTGTCTTCATAAAGTTTTAAACGAGGATAAACTTCATAAATAATATATTTCATCCGAACAATTTAAATTATTAAATGTAACTGTTACCTTTTAAATAAACTCTCTTACGTCAAATCGGCTGAATCGAGGAACATATATTAAGTGCTTAGTGCAAGTACAAACAAGTAGAAGATTAGAATCAAATGCAGAATTTAAGCTAACAAAAACAAAATATCCAAAACAAGTCTACGTTATATTACTATAGGCCTATATTGAAAAAAAAAATGTAAACTTTTCAAAAATTCGGCCAAGTATAGTTTGGCCGTGACTTTTCAAATGCTACGACCAGGCAAATTTTTATACGGCCAGATTTGAGG